TATAACCCTCCAGAAAATTTACTTGCCAACCAACAGATGAGTGAGCGAGAGCACGCATGGGTTCCAGCATCTTTATCAAGAATGATTTGACAACACCAATCCGTACCATCATTTCCTGTGAGAGGCGAAAAGCGAACTGCGAAGTGCGAGAATGTGGCACATGAAATTATCAGCAACACATTTGCTGAGAGCACTAAAGTAACACAAAAATCTCATCTCAATTGGCGTGTCAACCAAACATTCTTCGTGAGCAACTGGACGCACCGTGGGTTGCTGGACGCATACGAGAAAGCCGCATATACCGCCACAGCGATCAACCCCAACGTTTGGCCAATTCGATAAGGGGAACATTTCCAACAGTCGTGTGCACCGGCAACACGACAGTGCACGTAAAAAACTTGGTTCGAAGACTCGTCATGAACTCAACACGGCTCGGCTGGTCCCAGATTGTTCATCTATCGCACTCTCGCAGCGTGCACTTTTTGATTACCATTTGCTCCGCCTATTTTTGTCAAAGAACTTTTTTACCAACTTGACAACTTCAAAACTGCGACTTTACCATGAAGTATTCGAAACCCCTATAAAAATGAGCACTGGCGGCAGTGCCAGGAAGAACTATAAACTCACGATTTGAACGGTACGGACAGCACGCCAGTAACACGTACAACATCTGGAGGCGCTCCTGCTACAGGTGTAACACTACCACACTCAATAACTCGAACGCGCATGATGTATTTCCCGGGTGTTTGCCCGAAAAAGCGAGGAAATACCGATTGCGACAAACAAAGCGCCTGAAATAAAGATTATAACTTGTAAGACATGAATATGCAATATCCACCAAAACGTAGTCCTCTAATGACCAAACACCATCACATTCTTGTACTGCGCAATAGAAAGTGAAAACCGATGGGAAAATTCTACACAATGATCGTACTGCCCCTCGCATAGAACTTCTGAATGGATCACGGGTAAAGAGTTGAATTTCACATACACATGTCCCAAAACAATCAGGAACTTTCAAAGCAGGAATAAATGACTGATTTCACGCTACTCATTATCACTCAGTCGCACGAACAGGTTATCTTGCAATCTGCATAGTTACTAAGACAAGACTTTTTACATCTTTAGGATGGTTGAGGCCCATTCAGCGCCACTTCCAATCATTCACATGCAACAGGCGGAAGGGCATTGTAGAAGTTCCTCTGATTTTAATTACGACTGTACAGACGGCTAATAAGCGATACAGAACAGAAAATCGATAAAAGACAAATTAGGGCGCGGTAGAAAGGTCAGTATATCCAAAGACAGGACTATTAAAATTGTCCGTTTGCGAGCCGACCGTGATCCTGCGTACCCATCAAAAATACGCTAATGGGGCATGACTCACCGAAGTTGTCGATCGATTTTCGAGCAGAAGCTTCACTGCTATGCCTATAGGCGCAGGAACGCTGCTTCATTCCCGATCCCAACAGACAAGATAGGGTGAAAAAATCCTGAAGGTTCCTAACGCAGACTTTCTTGAGTGGAGACGCGCAACCCTTCATTGTTTTCTCAAGTGAGAAAATTTTCGCGACAATTGCATTCCTTAACGACAAAAACGATCGCGCCTTGAGAGAAAACATCGAACATGTTAACTTCCACGGAAAGGTTTTTATAAGAACAGCAAAAAGATGTGTATTGAGGGAGTCACGGGAAATGGTAAGACGCTGTTGGTCTGGTCGAAAGCGGCGTGGAAATTGGCAAAGGCTCCCAAAAAGCACACTGATGAATGTGCCTAAGCTTTGATCCGACTCCGTTTCCTGGAACATGCAATGACCCTTTCAGCAGGACGATCCTCCGGAAAACAGAGCCAAGCTCGTCCAAGAATGTTGCCGACGCCAGTTGCCTCATTTCATTACCACCAATGAATGGTTGTCCTGCCCACACTCAAAATCCACTCGAACTCTCCGTGTAGTCCCTGATTATAAGGGAACCAGTTGGGTTCGCCGTTTTAGTTTAGGTTCCTTGAGGCAGCATTCAAGAACAGATGGGACAAATGGAGAAGGGATATTCGCGTGTAACATGCGGGAATTCGAAATTAGACCTTGGGTCTCCATCCCTGCTAACGTGGGATATTTTGAAAAATGATGGTAGCTCGTTGTTACAGATAAGGTAGGCCCACGTTATAACAATTAGATTTTTATTCTCCGCTTGGAAGCTTTGAATACATATATTGCTATGGATAGGCGTCCATAATTTTGGGGCACCTTGTACAAATACCGCTATCTCTGGAACAGACACTGTAAAGACTTTTTTGAAAGATTCACCAGTTCCAAAACCGATTTGTGGAGTGCCTAACTTGACTACAGCTTACAACTGAGTCTGAAAGGTGTTGGCCGAAAAGGACAGGCAGTACTAGGCAAAAGTTAAAATTAAGTAGTATAAGAATTTCACCTCCAAAAAGCTGCAAGCCAACTTCCCTAGTAATTCCAATGGAAACAGTTCCTGGGTGACATCCACAAGCGTTTGAAGATCAGCCTCGTTTCCAAGAAGTTTGTCAAATCGACTAAGGTCCCTGTAGAAAGTGCTATATGTGTGATGGGTAAAGTTGTCGAAAATAAAGCAATATTTCTTGGCGTTGGGCCACGTATCCGATCAATTCGAGATCGTAGTAAATCCGTGTTTGACCTGTACAAGTACTTGTGATGCAAACCAATGTACAAAACAAGCCTACTCCTCCCCGTCAAGGCCGGTACTAGTTATTAGACCTCGCAGGGGTGGGAAGTTCGGTTGGAAAGGATCATTGTTGCTTCAACTTCTGGAACCTTTGGTTTGGTTTTGGCTTTTTGGTTCTTTCTTAGCGAAGCTTCCTATTAGTATGAAAAATAATTATATGAACTTACACTAATTCCATTTCCACAAGATAGTATACCAGCATGAGTTTGATAAAGAAAGCGAATATGAAATCAATTACTTCGGCTATAAAGCGACGTAGATATGAAGCCAACCTTCAAACGCTTTTTTGTGCAGCGGAACGGAGAAAGCCTAGGTTGGGATTACAAAAAAAGACATATTTTTTGCACTTACTTGAACTGGGCAGCAAGTAGATCTGGTCCATTAGGATTGTGAATAACAGCAATCTCACGAGCGCTCGCTGGAAGTGAACGTCGGAGATCTAACACCCTCCTCTCTTCAGCATTCGGGTCATTCTGTTCGGCATTGTCAAGCCACTGAAAGAAGTAATGAATGACAACCAATAAAAAAGAAACAAACACGATAATGAATAAGAGCAAAAATAAAGTATTACTATAAATACCAGGGAGCTTTGTTGTGATGAACTTCATATGTTTTTTAAGGAATTGCTCTTCACCTCGAATTAAAAGATCTAGGCGGAACCTATCAAAAATGTATGAGTAGTATGGAGCCACGAGTCCCACCTCACGACTACCTTGTGCACAGAGGAAGTGTAAGAAATAACCATGTCACTCCCGAACGCACACAGAGGTAAGAGCACGACCACGCAAGAATGACAGAAAGTGAAGGACAAAATGGTATTTGGTGAATAACTTTAAAAAATTCACCAACTCTGAAAGAAAATCAGGAGACTATCGATATCTAGTGTTGACTGAAGACTATGGGATGAGGGTATACACAGGTTGCGCCATAAATATGGTAACAACTTTTCGGATGCCCGAAATTTTCTTGTTTGGAGAGTTTCTCCAAATCTGCACCTTCCCTTATGCTTGTGATATACCTTAAACTACATGTCTACTTTGGGGCTTTCAATTCGTCAGATTTCGGAAAACGGTGGAGTAGAATTACTTGGGAGGGAGTACGCTGCAAAACCTGCCGACAAACGAGAAAAATGACTGCTGATTTGTTCGTATGTTCAGCTCTGATAAGAAGAGCCCACCCCAGTAAATACAGTTGTACCAACCCAGACAGAGCTCGGAAGCCTTGTAAGCTTCTCTACGAGAAAAAGTTGAAAAGAAAGAACGAATGTGTGCGCTACTTGCGCGCGAAGCGCG